ACATATAGGCTACCTGTAAGTGCCTTTTTTAGAAGGGGTCGGGCTAAAAAAAATGTGTGTACTGCCAGGTCACTGTTGAGGCTGTTGTTTTTTTTTCCACAGCAAGAAATGTGTGAAGCACTTCTAAAAGGACAAACACAGCTGTCATGTAAATACTAGATAATACGCCACTATTAACCAACATGATTGGCACCTGGACTAAATAGTTTGAGTAGCAGGTGAAATACCATGTAAACCACTGTAAAATGTTTTTTTTTCCTGTGTCTCTGTGACTCTGCCCAGTCATTCAGGATGATGATGATGATGATGAAAACCAGGTTAAGGTCATTTCTGTATGTAGGTTAAAGTGATGCAGAGTAGGAGGAGGAGCACAGAGACACACAGAGAAGAGAAATAGAGACTATACTGCAGCAAGGAGTCTGGTCCACTGACCTCCTTTGGGTGTCTCTCTAATTGGAGAGGAGGACGCAGAGTCCTGAATCCCTCTTTGACGACACAGGGTGTAATCACAGTGGAGCGGAGAGATACACAAACATGGAAAACTGACAGCACTTTAGCAGCAAATGCAAAGCCTTCCCAACGCCTGGACAGACCTACACATGCGCACACACTCACATAAACTACCAATCCCAAAACGTTACTCGTCCACAGTTACTTTTAAGTTAAATTGCATTTCTTTAACTAGTATTATATTGACACTTTGGTGAAAATCAAATCTACCTGTGCGTATTGATGTGCAGCAGGGCGCTGATCTCCCGGATCTCCTTACGGCAGGGAAACTAACTGCTAATAACCGGGATTAACGACGGAGGCTTATCCGACTGGTGCACCGAGCGACTTTTTCCTCCTCTCTTTGCTTTGTCTTCTCTCTTCAATGTTCACATTGACAATACGGTCTGCAGCCGCCGTGCAGCCGGTCAGCGGGACATTAGAGAAACGGAACGGATTGTCATTGCATTCACAGCAGTGATAACGGTGACTGCAGCCTCTGAATGAGGTGACATTGAGCTCCTTTTACGCGCCAGCTTTTTCCAACCACCTCTCCCCTCCTCTTCCTCTCTCTCCTCTCACCCTCTCTCTTCCTTTTTTTTTCCTTTTTTTTTTTTTTTGTCGGCACGCGCGCTGAATAATGCAGAGCTCGTGAGGTCCCGTGTTTTCTGTCCCGTTCCAGAGACAATCAGAGCGCGAGCCGCCCAAGCACAATGAGAGTGACCCGCGCGGATCAGGTTACCTCTGTACTGCCTTTCATTCATTTATTCAGCTGCAAACAAGCCCGACTGCAGCCCGGCTTGCTCCCCCCCCCGTCCCTGCCTCTGTACCCCACCTCTGTGTCTCCCCACCGCTGTGTCTCCCCACCTCGGGCTGCACCAGCACTCCTCTCAAATGTGTTTGTGTGGCATTTTCAGAGACACAAAAGCACTCAGAAAACTCCAGAACTAGGCTACAACAGTGACTGTAACTAAGTCGCACTTAGCCGGCCCAAATTCACTCAAGTAAACTGAAGGCCCATAAATAAAGGTTAAGGTGACTACTTCAGTCTACTTGAATGACAGCATGTTGTTTATGCCACATAACATTCTACAACAACATTTACAGGGAAAGTTACTGTCTGCAGCCCATACTCATGAAGCTTATGTCGCCTAGTGAGAAGACACCTTTTACCTGTGAAGATATGGGCTATAGGCTAAAAAAAACTTGTTTTCATCAATAAAACAATAAATGTTTAAGCAACAAAAAATATTTGTTCACTTATGAGAGGACAGCATGGCTTCTGTTTGCCAAATAATAGATTAAGTTTCATATTGTTATATAGCTTATTTTGCCTAGTGAGAAGACAATTTTTACCTGTGAAGATATGGGCTATAGGCTATTGTTAGTCTTTTGCATTATATGAAAGGAGTTCATCATGACAAGGGTCAGAGTGTGGTGCATGACCTGGAGATGAGTTGGCCATTTTTGCCACAGACATCATTTTAGATCCAATAGTGACCATATTTGGACAAGAGGGTGCAAACACCAGGTGATCAAACCTGTAGGCTACATGTCTTTGCCATGCATTTCTTGTGAAGCTAGTGACTGGCTAGTTAGCCTATCTGTTGTGTTGCCGACTGAATGAGGTTCTACTGTATGTGTGGTGGTCGCTGAACACAGTTGTTGAACAAGCTGGGTATGGTGCATGCACACAGCAATACCTGCTTCTTACATATCCTTGTTAGTAAATGCAATTGTGTTTTTAGTAATTGCATAAAGAAACCCAAAAGGCACCAAACACAGAGTGGAGAGGTTCAGTTCAGTGACTCTGTTGTCAGACAGAGACAACATGTTACCCAAAAATGACCACACCCCAATTAAAGTAACAGTACGTATAGGAATTTAGGTTTGGTGCGGTTTGGCGCCAGTTATGGTCTCTGAGTGTAACTGCACTGTGGTACATCACACAATGCTGTTGTGTCCCCCTCATAGAAACCATGCATTTATAGACACACTGAGGGCAAAGACCTGAGAAGCCATGCCGACTGACAAGTTACAGTAATAGTACAAGATTGTGAGCAAATATGACTGCTAGCATCTACAGCCTGTTGTTTGAAAACTGTTAGCATGTGGATTCAACTGCTACCATGATGTCTAGGCCGTGGCTAAATGCTACATTGAAGAGGCTTATTTGTTACTAGAAAGGCTTGTAAGGCTTATCAACAAACTTATTTCTTATAAAGTCATACAGTCAACTTTAAGAATGACTTGGCAAGAGAACATTCTGGTGTAAAATGGAATTATTTATTTATTTGTATTAAAGCCTGAGCCATAACTTGGGTTGGATAACTTTCTGCACCCAGTAAATCTGCTAAACATGTGGCAACGATGACACCGACATCAATACAGCCTAACTTTACGTCACAATCTGTTATGAATGATATCTGTAGGGATGTATAGTCCGCTGTGGGATTGTTGTTTTCCTATTAGCAGTGAGACAGCTCTTAATACTTACTTGCTGGGCAGTATCGTAACCTGTTTACAACACATGTATGCTAATAAGTTACATTTTAGCATCCTGTATATGCATTACTGTTCTGCTGTTTACAAAGCTCTGGTCAGCATGTTAAAGCTTCTTCCTCTTCCATCTCTTATTCCTTAGCCATCATCTCAAGCAGCACAGAGACAGCTAGGGCTGTATGGTGAACTAGTGCCATACAGCTGTATGGACTTCTCACGAGATGACTGTGGGCTGTGGCCAAAGTTACATAATACTTATAACAGTCAGCCCGACTGCGCTGTGGAGACGAGAGGGACCACATTCCCTCTGATGAAAGTCATTGTACTGTTAGATCGACTTTAATACTACCACCATTTTAAGGTGGAAAAGTTAGATATTGTTGCTTTAATGCATAACGTTTAGCTTCAATATAACTAGACGAGCTACTGATTTAAATTCCTCCCTTTACATTGTTTTTCATTCTGAAACTATAGACCCACTTCATGCACAAATGTACTGTGACTTTAAAGATCCTGGATTCATTCACATACATACGTAGTTCATAAGACATGGTGCAATGTTCTTCAATGTGTCCGTTATGATAATGCAATGGTGATATGGCTGCTTTCCTTCTGAACACTCAAGTGCACTTGCTTATGATACTGTAATAAATTGACTTTAAATTATAGTTTTCCAGGTAATTTCAGGTTTTTTTTCATTGTACATATTGCTAATGTTTACATGTAGTTAAGTATATTAGTGTTATTCAATATCTTAAAGCAAATAAAGGTCCATGAAAAAAAAAAAATGTTTAAACAAAATGTGATACTTATCAGAGAACAGCATGGCTTCTGTTTGCCAAATAATATATGAAGTTTCATATTGTTATATACAACTGGGAAAAGGTGCAAAATATACCACATGGGAATAACATTGTCAGCTTGAAGCACACTTAGCAGCCATAACGCCTTCAATATTCTATTTAATTGTTACTCCAGCAGATTTCCAAAATGTACAATAAGGCTGATACAAGCTTAATTTTTAGTACAATTAACATGTTTTCATATTTGTTTGTGATTCAGTGTCAGATAAAATAGCCTAATGTACAATTAAAACATATTTTATTAATTGAAAGCCATAAATAAAGGTTAAGGTTAAGGTGACTACTTCAGTCTACTTGAATGACAGCATGTTGTTTATGCCACATAACATTCTACAACAACATTTACAGGGAAAGTTACTGTCTGCAGCCCATACTCATGAAGCTTATGTGGCCTAGTGAGAAGACACCTTTTACCTGTGAAGATATGGGCTATAGGCTAAAAAAACTTATCAATACAACAATAAATGTTTAAACAACAAAAAATATTTGTTTACTTGAGAGGACAGCATGGCTTCTGTTTGCCAAATAATATATTAAGTTTCATATTGTTATATACAATAGGGAAAAGGTACAAAATATACCACATGGGAATAACATTGTCAGCTTGAAGCACACTTAGCAGCCATAACTCCTTCAATATTCTATTTAATTGGAAGATGTCATTGTTTAATACCGGCTTCTCTTCTCCGCCTGCGACTGTCCTTGGTTTAAGTGGTTGAATGATTAGAGAGGTGCCGTATGAGTGAAGTCCATTATGTGGGACCATATGGTACACATAATGAAAGCCAGAGAGGCATTGAGAAGAACCCACGTTCTACCTTCTTAGTTCAGTGGAGACCTTGTCTATTCATTGATTTGTGCGTACATATGACGTAAGAAAATAGGTCAGGAAGGTGTTTAAGAAATGCACACAGGCACACGCAATATTGTGTCTTGAAATACTCTCATCCCCTGAAAATGTAATTCCCTCTTTGTGTCTGCATCAAGAAAGCAGATAGCACCCTGTTGCTGTACATCTAACCAAGCTTGCTGAATAATGTGTGAGTACAATTTGTAAAACATCTTGCCTAACCTCTTTACAGTTTTTGTATTAAGTAATTTTACCTTTAGATATAAATAAAAACACACAGCTACACTGTTACTTACCATGGCAGCGTGGGGATGTCTGGTCAGAATGGGAGCTTGATATCCATTTGCTGTTGTCACAGTAACCCCTGGTGTTTGGCTGTAACCTACGAGAAATAAAATGTTACTTGTCGTAGTTATCATCTCTGATTATCATCATTTTCTTTCCTATTATTTTGTTCCCATGTTCTCATGTACACCCACTCTCTATTTTAATGCATTGTTACGATCAAGTAAATGTTTGCATCTCCAAAACCTTGCCTCTTTATGAATGAAGAATAGAGGTCTTATTGTGTTATAATCTGGTCGTGTAAGACGTTTCATAAGCTCAAACAGGATTGAAAAGCTAATGCTGCAAATGAAAGCATAATAATCAATCAGTCTTCCACTGTGATGAGCTTATGAGGCAAACCAATCAAAGCATCGGACCAGTTTTAAGTTCATATGTATATGTAACAGGTTGTGAAAGGTAATTATAGATTGTTGTGAGAAGTCATTTTACTTCAACTACAGCTTTTTTAAGCCTTGCCTCCTTATACCTAAACTTACAGCATGAAGTAAAAACCTAAATTATCATCATGAATCTGTCTAAATGTCGCTGTACTGTTGCCTTAATAAGTCTTCTTAAACTACCCCCAATTGATACAGTTCTACTACACTACTGCAACTTCTGCAACTGTTGTGACTGTTTCGCAGTCCTTAATGAAGTGAATACATTTACAGCATCAGTGTTTCCATTTAGACCTACTCTATATCTCAGTTTAACACAATTTCAGAGCCAATGCTGTCATTTTGACTCCTTAACGTGTACTTGACAGCTAAAGTTATTAGTTACAGATCATATAGATTTATTTAAGATACTGCATATGTTTCTGTTTGTGTGTACACACATACATATTCAGCTAGCTACTAAACTGTGTAATCTATTAACCATCTACAATTAATACCTCAAAAATCATCCAGTGCTCAACATCTGCTTAACAGTTCTGTTGTTTGTATTTGGAGGCCATAACATCATTTTATTATTACACCATCACTGAACATTATCAGTATCTAGAGCAGTTCATATCGTCACAATGTGACAAAGCATGCTTACAGTGATGCACGTTTTCTATCACTGACGTGTATTATAATTCTGTTATGTGAGTGTGTGGGTGTGTGTGTGTGTGTGTGTGTGTGTGTGTGTGTGTGTGTGTGTGTGTGGGTGTGACTGAGTGTGTGTAATCCTTATCTGCAGACATGATCTCTGTTAAAGAAACCAGACTGTCATTGTCTAAAGATAAATTAATTTGTGTTTATTATCAGGAAAACACACCCATCCTCTGAGTGGGAAGGCCATGTGTGCATCTCAAACACTAACCCTGTTTTCAGATAATGATTGTCATGACGCCTAATACAATCATTTATCACTTTTGTCCTTGGGTGGTTCATTTCTGTGCTGATGATCCACATTGTGTTTGTGCTTTAAATGAGAACAACAATATTGTCCTTCATCAAATATAGATGCTTATTCAAGAACAGATGACATTGTTCTAAATGCAACTCTGACTCAAGTGCTTCTATTCTGAACTGATTAACAGAACATGATATGTGATTTCAGAAAAATCTTTTTTGTCCTGTCCTAAACCATGACACTGCCTGCCTCCATGTTCCGGCAATGTGTTTTCTGAATAAGTGGGTTTCTCATTCATGCGTAAAGCGTTCTTAATGCATTGTTTTCATTTCCTCCAGTAGTCTTTTTAGAGCTCCATGTTCAGCGCTTTTCAGTCGCTTGTGTCAGTAAGGTTAGATGAGTGAGCATGCAGTGTTTATGTCCTATTTCGTGAATTCATGAAGTACCTACTATTGATACCAGGGTGGTGCACCAGGGCTCCTGCAAAACTAGGCCATGGGTGGGTATATTGATCCATCCATCTATCTATCATCCAGCTATTTACCTATATCCTTAGTGCTTTACTACTTTCAACATACATCTACCTCCCAGTTCCTACCATTCCATACGCTTCATCTATCTTCTTAATTACTTACAGTCATTCCCTTCAGACTTAATATTGTTCATTTGTCTGAACACCCATCCTTTATTCATGACTATTTTTTGTTTAGACAGACCTATTGACATATTACATTTGGGAATACAACTAAGTGTTAGGCTGTAACCGTATAATCTTGTAGCATCTTACAGTGAGTGTCACAGCAGTGTTTGGCTATCTTTTTAGTCATCAGGCCATATAATGGCATTGAATTAAACTTATACTGATGATAGAAATAAATAATAATTTAATGCATTAATTTTAGCCATTTATATGCACTTATTTGTCTGATTTACAATCTTTCATAGTATCATGTTCTATTTCAATCCAGTAAAAACAATGAAACAAAACCAAATAAATTAATGAATTAAGATAATAACAAGAAGCCTGGCTTTACTTTTTTATTTACTATGTATGGAACTTAAGTCTTGCTTGCATGTGTGTATACTGGTTTGATAATAGTGAAATAAAAGTTTGTACTGCAAACACCTTCCTCTTTTCTTAGGGACTGATTACTTATCCTGACTGTATTTGTTCTTAACCCTGTGTGGTTTAGATCTGAGTTTATGACGGCTTTTAGCATATTGTAACCACTCCACTTTCATGCATTCACCCATGACGCTAATGATCTCTTGAACATAGAACTGAGTGTGACGTGATTTTTGAAAATAGTGTGTATGCGTGTGCTTGGGTTGAGTGTAGTTGTTAGTGGCAGTGGGTATTATAACAGATAAGGGTGCAGTCAGGATAGCTTTTGATCTCTTTGTCAGTAGCCAATGAAAAAGTGAATGTTAGAGAAAGATGGAAAGAACAACAAGCAAAAGACAGCAGGAGGGCACTGGAGAAACTCAGCTTTATTGACCAAAGATGGAGAGAGGATACAGACATCAGAGAGAGAGAGAGAGAGAATCAGAAAGAGAGAGAGAGAGAGAGGAAGGGGGAAGAGAGAGAAAGAGAGAGAGAATGTGACAGGGTGAGGTGTAGCCATACAAAGAGAGGGAGACAGAGAGAGAGAGAGAGAGAGAGAGAGAGAGAGACAGTCTGAAACAATAGAAAATGGCTCCTTTTTGTTTTAACAGTCCATACAACCGCGAGGGCAGGCAGACAAGAAAAAGAGGGACCCCTACAGAGTCAGAGGAGTACTGCAGGCGTGGCAGTGGGGCTGGTAAACTCAACAAGTCTTTTTTTCTTGTACTGCTCCTTGCATTTCATCAAAAACACACACAAACTGGATTAACTTGAAGTAAGCCTTACTCTTTTCCTCTTATATGTTTTTTAAAATAGTAATTGGATTTTTTGTTAGTACATATGGTAAGTGCATTTGCTCTGTTGCACATTATATGTGTGCATTACACTTTGGGGATCTAACCCTACATGTTTAAAATGACATTTCTTTGCATAGCCTCCACAATCTTTCAAACAAAACAGTCATGCAATGAATAATTGTATGCCAATCTGGGACACAGAACAGGACACCATGAGTAACTGTCCCCAGCCTTCACAAGCCTTGCAGTCTGTTTTGCTGCACACAGATTTAATGAGAGAAAATCTCAGTGACAAACTGTTTGGAAGACCCATCTTAAAGTGTTTTTCTCCCCAAAAGATCTGTTCTGATGAAATTGTACCCAGAAAAAAACATGCACGTGGTGAAAGGAATAGCCTGACTTTTAGAGCATCTTTTGTCAGTAAAATTTGTTATTTGGCAAATGGACTTTACAATTAAACATCATAGACTTTAAATCTTCTAAATGGCTGCTTGCATCACTGTAAAAAAGCATTATTTGGAAATGGTCAGCACTTATTTTAATGGACAGTGATTTATAGTTTAAAGGCTACTATGCAAATTGAATGGTAAACAGTTTTAGGATCCTGCCTCTGACCAATATTCTAAGATGCCTTCAAGGCAAACCGTAACATGTATGTGAATGGAAGCAGCTGCCAAAAGTTCTCTAAAGGTGGTGGGAAGAGGGGAAAACACTGTGAGGGGTTAATTGTAAGATTACACACAGCAAAGCAGTGAAGTTAGAGAATGAAAATATGTGAAGGTGGTGTTTGTGCACTCATACAGTCGTGATATGGAATCGTAGAATATAACAGGACATTTTCTAGTACCCAGAATATTCAGAATTATTTCTAGATCTCTATATATGTGTTGAAAATAAAATCCTCACTAAATAGAATATAGAGTATATTTACATTCTTTATCTACACAGGACCTGGATGGGCCTGGTGGTGGTGACCAATCACACAGCAAGCTGTAACTGACTGGCAGCAGCAGTGGCCAATCACTTTTAAAGCATGGATGTTTGAGGGCGGAGCTACTGTTCTGTTCTGACAGGACAGTGTAGAGATGGGATTGTAGAGCTGCGCATGCAGAGCCATGTGAGGAAAGAACTTATTGATGTGTTTCCTTTCCTTTTGTCTTTCATCTCTGTTAAAGTTAGTCATTTTTGGAAATATAAACTTGTGATGTGTCTAAAACATACCAGGAATTGGATTTAGGGATACTTCATCCCCTAAAGGCTACAACAACATCCTCCATCACATTATTTGGATATGCAGAGCCTATCTTACCTCTTACCTAAATGTGAAAACATATTTTCCACTCACATTTAGGTGAACTGATCTTACTTTAAAGACAAGTATTTCTCTCTATTGGAATAGCAAAGTGTAGCCACTAACTCTGCAGACACTTGTTGAGCAGCACCAACTCCTCTATCCCATGTAACCTAAAAGACCCTACATTTACAAATGAAGTCTTTTCAGAGCCTTCATTATCATGCAACAGAATGAGGATGATTACTGCCTTCAAGAGCCTTTCTGAAACTACCTACATATGATGTTATAATGACACCCAGGCCACATTATTTGTAGCACCCTTGTAAACGAGGGCCTGGTTTGTGACTACAGCGAGAGCTGGCAGTGTTTTTCAGTCTCTTTGTGCAGAGCATAATAGATCTCTCATGGTCTTCTGCAGCGATGAAGTGAATGTAAATGGACAAGAGGGTGAACATTATTTGCACATTTCTCCTGACGCTCATCTGAGTGCAGCTGTGATAGTTTTAATTTAGAAATATGGTAGTGCTTGGTAATATTCACAACTTTGTGCCCATACAGTTAGTGGTAACCCATGTTTGTTTTCATAGCTGGGAATACATGTTCCTTGGCTGCCGGAGTGTACTCATTAAGCTGCCGTAGGTTCCTGTGCTCTGTAACCTTAAGTAACACTGGAAAAAATGACTGTATAGATCATAATGGCAGCCAAAAGGTTTGAAACTACATCTTATTGGCTGCCAAGTTCGAAAGTACCAGAATACGAGGAAGTGACCTCAGCAGTGGAATAGCTTGAGTTGAACAAGATAGAAAGATAATAGACAGAGAAAGTAAGAAAGAGAAGAGAGATGAGGAGAGAGAGAGAGAGAGAGAGAGTCCTGCTACTATTCCTAACAGTGTCAAAAACTTCAGGTTCCCATGGAAACTGGCATCCAAACAATTCAATGGCCTTTCAAGTTTGAAAACAAAAGAAAAGAATGCTCAGGTATCAACAGCAATCAAAATAAAAGTCTCTTAAAGATAATCTAAATCTACTAACTACATTTTTTTTTTGTAAGGATCATTTGTTTCGAAGAATGAAGAGGCACATAAAGTAACCAAGGCAACAAGTTCCACCCTCGTTGTTTGGTCAGAGGGAGTTGTTCGAGTTCATATGTTGGGTGTTGTGTTTGTTCACTGTGTGTCTGTGTGTGTTTGGGGAAAAAATGTCAAGCAAGGGGATTAAAAAAAAGCAAGTGAGAAGCTATTGAAAAGAGAGATGAAAAAAAATTACTGAGACTGTCCATCGTTTTGAATGTTTTATAAACTGGCTTACTAAAGGAGAAGATCTGGTTGATTGTCCTTAAAGCAAGATGGACTGTTTGGTTAGACAGCATGGCAATGGACTTGATTGTCCGTATTGACTTACTGACTGCTGAGAGAAGTTTTATATAAACTGGTAAAATTTTTCCACCTACTACCAATGATATGGCAGCAGGACAACCACTTTATTCCTGCATAATTTGAATTTTTGAAATACATCGTGTTGTCTGTGGAGACAGGCGGCTGGCAGAGACTCTATGTTGACGGAGGAGGTGACAAAAAGGCAGAGAAGTGGAGGTAATAACTCAGTTAAGTAAAAAGTCAAAGGTCAGACAAGAGTATGTATGCGTGCAAGTGTGTGCCAGCCATTCAGAGTCCAGAGGAGGAGGAGGAGGAGGAGGAAGGCAGGGCTTCTGTTAGTAACCATCCAGAGACAGAGGAGGAGAGAGGGGTGTTGTGGGTAATAATAAAAGGATGGAAGAGGGAGAAGATTCAGTCACATGAGGATGCAGCACTGGCAGCGTTTCCTCTTGTCTGTACCTGTGGAAGGGGTGAGGCCAGGCGGGGGTGCTGTGTTGGGGTCAGCATTTGCAGGGGGCGAGGAGGCACTGTCAGGCTCACGGCCGTCTGATGACAGTTCCGTGCTTGCGGCCTCAGATGTGGCTGGCCGCCCTGACACGAGGTCGGCTGCAGTGCCGTCAATGATGGATAGGTCAGTGACTGTCTTCTCTCTCAGGGATTTCTCATCATCTTCATCTATCAAGACCACCTCGGCCTTTACGGCGCCGTCGAAACCAAGGAGCCGCCTGCTCTCGCTCATGTCGTCAACGTCCTGGTAACCGAGGAACACCATGGTGACTGGGTGCTCAGCTGTGGCTTGGGGAGGAGAGGTGAGCTCGGAGCCTGAGTTGGCTGAGGAGCCGGGCTGGGCCGTGATTGGGGCTGTTGGGGGCATCATGCCGACCCGGGTCTCCCGTTGGAGGATCACCTGGGCTGGTGGGCTTGAAGGGATGGAGGGTGGCGCACAGGAAGGTGGAGACAGATCATCAATATCTAATGGGGAAACATAGGCCTGCGGTGCAGCTGGGGTCACAGTCACCTGGCCCCTGCCGCCGTCTCCGCCATGTGCGACAGGTCGAGCAGCTCGCTTGATCAGCTGGTCGACCTGCGCAGAGCTCCAACCGTTCTCCACTGCGGTGGTGGACACCCCCCCAGAGGACGTGACCTCGTAGACCACTTTTCTGCCATCATCGAAGACCTTCACCCCACGCGTCCCAGCATCAAGCGGGTTCACACGGTTGGCTGACAGGACGCGCTGCTCTCCAGTCTGCGGGTCATGCTCTACGTTGATCTCCATGGCAAACATTGCTGTTAGGAAGGGGGATGAAAGGGAGGAGAGACAGGGAGGGGGGGGAGGAGGAGGGAGGAGATGAGTTGCAGAAGGGAGTGGGGTTTGAAGGAACAGTGAAGGGGACGGACAAGTGAGAGGAAGGGCAGTGGGGGGTTTGGGAGGAAAAGTTGGAGGGAGTGAAGCGTGAGGATGGGGACACAGTGCTCTCTAAAATATAATAAATACATTCAAACAGCAACATATGTAATATAGGAAATTAGTTAAACACCAACATTATTGTTTAAAGATTCTAACCACAGATACACGTGAATAAACAAAAAAAATAAAATACTTTCCCTTCACATGTGGCATGCTGCAGAAGGTCCTTTTTGGTAAACTTCAGGTAAAATACCATTTTACTGATGTCTACCTCTCATTAGGTACTATTAATGACAACCAATGAACAATGCTGCAAATTTTAAAGCCCAAAATGAGCTTTAATTTGGTAAATGTCAGAACATTTACAATCCTCAAAATAGGCCTCACCGGGTATTTCTTGACAAGGGACGATTTATGCCGTAATAATAATAATTACTGCTTAAGTCAAATATATTAAGAGTTAATTTTGCTAAGAAAAAATATTAAATAAAAGTATATTTTGATTGATTTTATTTCCGTTGTCCTTTATCAAAAATATTACTTGAAAACAATTTTTCCTCTGCACAATTAAAAAGCATGCTAGCAGGATAAGCAGCTTAACAGAAGCTATGAACAGAAATCCCTTTACTGTAAAAGCTAATGGTTTTGGCTGATGAAAGAGAAACTGCACTGCAAAGAGCAAAGCTATTGTCATATATCAAGAGTAAAGCTATTACTAATCTGAAACTCGCACCAAATCTAAAGCTCATAAAAAAGCAAAGCCTGTCGCGCTGTATGTCAGCATGGTAACACTCCTACAGTCAAACTAAAGCCAAGCCTACAACTGAAAAAAAAGTCCTAATATTACATGTTTAAACTGAAATGAATGCTAATCCAAACACATATTGATACTTATTATTAACTGATACATGCTTGTAAATCTAGTTTTATGTTCTTTTTTTTTGCCTAGTGTTTCTGTCTTTTAAAAAGTCATAACTAACATAAAAAAGTCAATTCAAATATTTATCTGGAGCCTTTTGTCCATGTGCTTTAATTACTATCACCTAACAACGGAGACACACTGTTATGTGTAAAGTTTAATTTCCTTGTAAGAGTTGACATTTGTGAAACATGTGCGTATCTTAACCTCCACCCTTTCTGTGCGCGTGAGTTTGTCCTGCATTTAATCCAACTTGGCTGCTGCCCAAAACCATCCTTTCCTCCCTTCCTCCCTCCTCCCTCCCTCTCTCTTCTCTGCCCTCCCTCACCCTCCTCTCCTCCTGTGTCTTACCAGGTCTTGGTATGGCGTGCTCTCCAGAGGCAAGTTGGCCGGCCGGAGGCTGCGTTACCAGGATGAAGCGGTCTGGATTGGGATCCGAGAGAGCGGTGGACATGCAGCCGGTGGCATCTAGTGAGCAGGAGGACAGGAAGGGAAGTGACACATGGTCAGAGGGACGTAAGAGGCCGGGAGGGAGACACACACACATACACACTCTAACACCAGGCTCATGCCGATACACACATACACACTGGTTACACACACAGACACACTTTCGTGATGTGTAACCACACCCTGACACAAAAACACACACATTGAGCCCAGCCCCCAAACACAGACGCTAACCACACCCCTGAGTGACCTGCTGCCTCTGGTCCTCACACAAACACTCTCTCACACACACCTTCATATACACACACAGCATCTAACTTGCCTCATCCCTCTGTTTCTGTGTCCACGGCAACTCTAGCACCCCTGAGGTTCAGTGCTTATGCAGCAGAAGCGTGTGTGTTTGTGTGTGTGCTCGATGGCAGGAACAAAGCTTTGGGGGCTTATGGGGCTTGCTGGTGAATAGGGGGGATAAAGCCAGCGACTGCATGCTGCAGAGTCATGGCCTTGTGTGTGTGTGAACCTCAATAGTCTTGCTAAGCCGGGTTCTGTGTGCATTTGTGTCTGTCTGAGTTTTAGTAGATGTGTGTGTTTGCGTGCAAGTATATAAATGTCTATGTGTGTGACTCTCTGTGTGGGTGAAGGGGGGTTTTGAGGTGCCGAAGCGAGTGCTGGCCTGCATCTCTCCTGCCTCAGCGAGACTATTATCACACACACACCTGCATGCGCGCACACAAACACACACACACACACACACACACACACACACACACACACACACAGAAATAGAAGTGGCCCCACTGATACGAAACAATGATAACTCAGGAGAGGACATCATCCCAGAGAGATGTGTTTGTTTACTTGTGTGTGTGTGTGTGTGTGTGTGTGTGTGTGTGTGTGTGTGTGTGTGTGTGTGTGTGTGTGTGTGTATGTATGTATTTGTGTCATTGCTCATACCTTTATCCTGGTTCATCAGACTCTGAAAAAGAGACAGAAGAAAGTCCACATGAGCCATAACAGTTTTAAAGTTTTCTGGAAAATAATCTAACCAAGGCGTTCAATTCTTTAGAGAGAATGATGGAATATACTATTGTTATACACTGATGAGATAATATATCATAAGTAAGATTTTTTTATGTGAAAAAACATGCATGTCTCTCAATAAAAGACTGTAATCCTGAATTTATCCTCAGTGATCAGTTTATATTTACAACACAACTACACCACAATGGTTTAAGTGCAAGCACCTACAACACTGGTTCAAGACTGTAAGCCGTTCTTGTTCTCTTACCTTCTGCAGATCTTCTATGGAGCGCTCCGTCTCTTTCAGACGTTGTCTGAGGACCTGCTCTTTGGCTGATATCTGGGACTCTTCACTCTCAAGTGCACCGATTTCAGACTCGAGCCTGCAATCACAGAAAAAAGGGAAATCATTTCCTGTCATGATGTTGAAAAAGTAGAAGAATCAAGGGATTTGTAGCCCTTTAAAAGAAAAGAAAAATCGCTCACGAACTCAGCCTGAAGTTTAACATAGGGATCAACTAATTTTGATGTATTTTGTTAGAGGGCAGGTTAAGAGCGAGAATTTCTCATGATAAGATTTAACTGCAGGGTTGCTGGTGGTGCAGTGGTTAGTGGGTGCGCTCCATGTATGGAGGCTATGGTCCTCCAAGCGGGCGCCCCATGTTCGAGTCCCACCTGTGGCTCCTTTCCTGCATGTCATTCCCCACTCTCTATCCCTGATTTCAGACTCTGCCATTGTATTATCTCTCCTTTAAAGGCACAAAACACCCAAAATTAAATCTTTAAAAAAAAAAAAAAAAGCAAATTGCAAAAGTCTGCAAACTGCTTACTATTTCCTGTATGTAAAAAGCATAGGTACTCAATCAAACATTTGTGCATGCTTGCTGTACATATTTTGTCTTTAGCATGTGGCCTCCAGAGACACTGATGCATTTAAACTGTACCATGAAGTTTAACATCTGGTGCCTCACACCACCTGGCCCTGCGGTCATCAGATTTCAGTCAGTCCTTACTGTCTCCAGGGTGCATTGATGTAAGTTTTATGACGTGTATGATGCTGATCTCGATTTAGTCCAGATGCTTCAAACACATGCACCGACCAGAAACAGATGAGGGATGAGTAACTTGCGAAACAATTTGCCCCACATCCTGCATCAGCTTGTCTAATAAGCCCCACTGCTTTTAGCAGTGTCCAGAATGATAGCCTATGATTTATGCACAATGCTATTAGAAGTCACTTTTTCATATCGTAATCATGCACTGCATCCTGACTGAGATTGAACAAAGACCAAATATATCCATATATCAACCACTCATTTTCAGTTTAAACAGTAAACCATATCATAAAAATAGTTTACTAATGTATTGGTTCTTAACGTGGGGTCCTGGCCCCCAGGGAAGGTGTGCCCAAGATCTCAGGGGTGACACGAGGCTTTGCGTGCTCTCAGGTTGTCAAAATCAGATGAAGACACATTGACTAAAATCATGATTAAATACTTACTGGATAGTTTGAACAAATGTATTTTGGTAAGAAAAGTGTGTTTAGACCTATTCTACTGGGACAATGAAAACTATTAAAACTGTTCTTTAATTGTGTCCTTGGGGGTCCCAGCTTTTCTTAGGTTGGGCTCCAAGGGAAAAAAATCAGGAACATATGAAATTAAACATATTTAGCAAATTAAAACCTCAGACTCATAGAGGCATTTACAGAGGATAGATTTCTGCTACATTCACATGTTAAATGTTGCACATTCTTCCTTTAAGTGTAAGTAATAACCTGTTCGAAGCTAATATTAAGTAGTTACATAAGTCAGGTGAAACAGAACAAGAGCAAAGCCTTCCAAGGTTACCCATTATCATTTTAAAAGTCTTACTTTCTGCAGCATTTGTGGCTCAAGGATAAGTTTATTAAACTGGGTCATTGATTATGAGCCATCAAACTAAAAAAAAAATGCATGTTCAAATGTATAAATGTGGCTTGGCAGTAGGAGGAAGTTTTAGCACCATGGTCTCAGCAATTATTGTGTAAATTATATCCCAACATTTTCCCAAATAAGTTTCTTACAGGTGATAAAATGTTAGGGGGGTTTCTGTCCCTGCTAATGAGAGAAACTAATTAATGTCTTTGTTTGACACATTTTCCTCAGGATAATCTTGAATTTTGGTACCATCCCCTACATTTAACGGCCTATGTTCACTCACAGACACACCACATGTGCAGGCTCATATGGACATTTAAGGTGTGGATGTAGCAACAATACAAGGAAGCGGTCTGGGAGGAGGACCAGCTTCCTCACTGACTGCCAGCACACACAATACTTTCAGAATACACTCCTCTGGGAGCAGAGGAATGTGTGCGTCAGTTTGTGTGACTGCATGTGTGTATTATAACAGATCTTAAGGATCATAACAATGCCCTAAGCAATCCGCCTTCCCACAGTATTCAAAAAAATAATAGGGCTCTCTTATCATATCAGCATTAGTGACCATGAGAAAGCACTGGTACACACTGTACTAAGTGTAGTGTTCACTGTTTAAGAGACTTTTTATATGAAGCAGCTCACAGAAACATAAGGTGGTTAGCCTGAATTGGCCACTTACACTGTGAATTGTGTTGTTCTCAAAGCATCAACATTACACATAGAGGATATCTATGGAGTTGCTGGCACTTACAAAACCAATGATTGTGTTTTTGGTCTCTGCCAGAAAACCTGGTGCTTTGGCAATGATCACTAAGGTTTAACTAAACAAGCACTCACAGTCTGCTCGCATCACATCTCACTTTGCCAATGTTTCTACTCAAGTTCATCTTCAGCGGAGCAGTGTTTGGATCTCATCCATCTACCTGAGTTTTGTACTGAGCACCAGAGATGCATGTTTTCAAAGCTATGATAGCTGTGTACCTCAAAGACCCCAAAAGACAAAGCTGGATATACAATATGTATACAGTTGATTTTACCCTTTAATAAGGAAATATAATTGAGATAGGGATTACTTTTGTAAGAGAAACTTGATTGCAGTAGAGCGGTAAGCTTGCCCAATACAGAAGCTGTGTTACTTTGGGTCAGGGCAGCAGTGGAGTAGCTTTGCAGTCAGAGACAAAGCTTTTGTTGGTTCCATCGGTCACATGAATCTGTTGTTTGTCACCGCTGAATGTAATCCTGAACGACATTGTACATGAACTCAAAACAGAGCAAAGCACAAGACCAGTTTCTTATCACAAACTTGACCTTGTGGAACATTGTCCTTACGCCATTGTCCATATAAAAATAACTGGCACTGTTCAGAGTTGTTCAGTGATAAATTAAATTACACATTTCAGGGGAGATGTGTTTTTTTTTTTTTTTTTTTTTGGGCTATGGCTTGATTAAAAACAAATATAGTACCATGCACACAAGCTATTTTAACACCATTGTTCATTCTGAAGGAAAGACAGTGTCTTATCAGAGTCCATTATACTGCTATATGTCAGACTTGATAGCAACTTAATTATTCATTTTGTTTTCCCCTATAGTGAAGCTTTTCAAAAAGTGTTAAAAGCTCAAGTTTGGTTTGGCTGATGCTCCTACACTCCTTGGTTAGGATAAATTAGAAATGTTGTGCCGTCAGTTAAATTACATTCATCAAGGGATATGCACAGAAGATTTTTATTAGTATGTACATGGCATGAAGTATATGGAGGTTTTATGCTTGCCTCTGACTGCCACCTTAAGTAGACTTCATCTTTATGTCCCATGAGTATGTAAAGGACGATTGTCCATCACAAATGTGAATCTGACAGATGTGTATAATTTCACTGCTTCCCAATTTGTTAGCAACTGAAAAGAAAAAGGAATTTTACATTTCAAAGGGTCAATAATACCCCAATAACTGCATGAGAAAGATGAAGAGTGTATGTATGTGCTTACGTTGGCATGCGACCCTCCCTTTACATATTTATCCAAGCCTGATAGTAAAATGTCTAAAATGATTCTAGTCAGTAGAAAGACACTCACTGGACACATATTTTGGTAATCTGTAATGTTCAGACGGACGACACCTAACACCAAAATGTTTTCCAAGCACTCTAGAATCAAAAGTCTGGCTAAGAGGTGGAATAATATTATTTGACTTTCTCTGCCAAAAAGGATGAATCTTTTGCAGACAATTATACGGCTTAAGAACAGATGTGTTACAGTTAAATAATGTCCTTTATAGGTCTCAGATATTTGTGTGCACTAATATGACATATGAAAAAAACTCATGGGAAGAAGAAGTGTGTTATAGTCATCACTCTCATCTCGTACAGAGTTTTTGACTTCATACCCTAAATAAACTGAGCCATAGAGACCCACAGATGCTGTTTTAATCATGTTACACACAATCTGCAGCACATTTGTTAGTTAGAGAGATAATCCCTTGGGTCTTGTTACACCCACACCTATGTCTATTTTTCTTTGTAGCAGATGTCTGTACAACATTACCTCTCGTGTGGCTACTCTTCCCTGCTCCTCCCTTTTCTAATTTCCTTGTTTCCCTTTCAGACAGGAAATGGATTTTACTTTTGTTTCCTGTAAACTGCATGGGATCTTTCCAAAATGGGTTAGAAACAAGATTTGTGACCGGAGAAGGATGCAGGTTTCTTATCCCACTACATCACCTCTACATAAATATCGTAAGTACCAAGACAAATGTTTATATGTGTGGACAGGGAGAACAACAAGGTGTCTGCAAAGATTTCCTTCAACCATTGTCAGTTGATTTTAACACCATAATGAATTGTCTTTGGTTGTAAGGGAACTATGTGAGAATGAAAGATAGAAAAGAAAGCAAATTGTTAAGAGCTATATTTTGAGTTATTTGATCATTATTCAAATATGTTGCAAACTATGACCTGAATTCAATAGTTTGACACCTCTTACAATGACGAAAGCATTAAATTAGTGACTTCTAAATGTTTTCCTTCATGGTCATCAGCTCAAATGAAGAGAATAGACAAACAACACTGGCAACAGTCATATTTGTATCTGGCGCCCTCTAGTGATGGAAAAAAAACTAGTAAAACAAAACTGTGAGCAGAGAATAAAAAAGAAAATGATGGCCCTGCATCTGTTTCAGACCTTACTTAGGGTAATATTGTTGTGTTTTACTCTGTAATCTCAATTTAAAAAAATAGTCAGAGGAGATATTGTTTACATTAGAGGTCTGCTTTCTATTTTGAGGCTATAAAAGTAATTATGGATGAAGTCATCAGAATGAAATACATTTTTGGTTGTCCTATATATTACCAGATGTTACTTTAAACTTTGATATGAGTTTATATTTCCACATATAGTGGCATCTCTTAAGAACATTTGGTTAAACAACTGTAAAAATATGTGAAGAGAATTGTACAAGAAAAAACATATAATCACATGTCCTCAAGTATCATTTGTTCTCTATGCAAGAGTGGGTCATGTGTTTCTTCTGTGTGTGTGTGTGTGTGTGTGTGTGTGTGTGTGTGTGTGTGTGTGTGTGTGTGTGTGTGAGCAATAGATGTGACCATGACCTCACACTGTCCCTCCCTCTTCTGTGCTTCTCTTTCTCTGTCTGGCATCGCTTCTATCTCTGTGGCAATCCTGAAAGAGACCAGTGATGTCACTGTCCCGCCCTGTCAACCAACCACAGGCCAGTTGCCATGGATACTCCTGGGTGGGCAGCAACTGCTTTCCACATCATACAGAAGGAGGAAGAGCAGACATCTGGTTTTATGTGTGCTGGATGTGTATGCTTTTTGTGCAGTGTGAGTGTGTGTCTATATGCAAACACACTGTGTGGGATATAAAGACGGACAAAACAAGAGATGAAGTGTAACCGCACTATGTGTTTCTGCAGGATACTGTGTGTGTGCTGTGCGGGATATGTAGAAAAGTTGATTTCTAGGTACACTTCTTCTGAGTTTTTCTTTTTTACAGTTGTACCACAAGTTACTGCTTATTGTAGATCTGCTCAAGGTTTCTTGCCAATTCATTAAAAGGAATATTTTCTTCTTTCTACGGTTGCCAAATGATGCTTGTGCTTGAGTGTTTGCTCGTGGCGGATTAATGTTGGGTCTCTTAAACGTATAGTACGTCTAGGCCTGCTCTATGTTGGGTCACCGTAGTTTACATTATAGATCTATATGATCCAGACCTACTCTTTTTGTAAGGTGTCTTGATATAACATATAAGAACTGCCGCGATACAAATATTGATGTATTAATTGATTGATTGACAACCAACGCTAAGCCACTCCCTTATTTGCCCAACTCTCAAACATAGTACATCAGTGAAGCTAATTACATATTTAATATACAAACAGATCAACTTTTTGCAAGAAAGCAAGAAGAATTAATATTTGCTCCAACCAAAGTCCTTACCAAAATCCCCTTTTTTTCCCCCCAACACATTTGAGCTTACTTAAGGGCCTTTCAGATAGGATGCGGCGAGCTCAGCGCGCACCACGTCCTATCTGAACGGCCCTTTAGACAGCACTTAATATTTTAAAGCACCATAACAGATGTACAACTCTAAAGCATAGAAGACAAAGCCACTGATAAAAGCTGCATCCTGTATCTGTATTCTGTCACTCCTTCTTATACACACTGACCCCTTATATCTGGAATAGACTCAGATGCTGTTATCGGCTTCCTCGTGTTTCTGACCTGAGGGTTAAACTGTGCAGAGGCCAGAGAGGCAAGTTGGAGAAAACGAAAAAACCAGATGTTCCTTTTTTCCAAGTATGATCGAGCTTGCCTTAAGTTTTATGCCTGAAGTGTTTGTTGTTGTAATACCTATTTTGCCCACCAGAGGCTTAAGAGTACAACAACAGATTTTCTTTTAAACACGGCCAGAGTCATTCATGTTCTTCCAGGTCAGTTCTTAAATGTCTTTGCATGTTTTAACCTACCATATATGTGTCTGAAAGTTATTTCACATTACTGTCACTAAACAAGGGTTTCGCCTGTTTTCAAAGGTCAAAAAAATTGACTCAATTCACGTTTAAAAAAAAAGAAGTTTTCTCACTAGCCTTTTAGGGCATTCATGGCTCCCAGATCCCAAACAGGATGTAAAGCTTGCTCATGCAGTTTCTGTCCCCTCCTACTTTTTTCATGAATGATTAACTATCCTTGACTTCAATTCACACGGAACATGAAAGATATATGATATATACATCACTTTCTATATTTGTTCCCTGTCATCATATGAGCCATTGTTTACAGTTTACTGGGTTCAAAGGGCAAATTACAGGCTGTGTTTTAAAAGGCTAAACAGCACAAGCAGAATGAGTATTAATCTGTGTCAGAGCAATCCTTTAGAAATAGTAGAAGTTAAATGAAACATTTAACTTAAATGATAAAAAATACAGCCTGTTTCTATTAGTGAGGTTGTTTTCTATACCTCAAGGTACAGTAGTATTTTATACAAACGTTATACTATGGCAGCACTTCTGTTATACAGTTCAGTTCACTGTTGTTATAATCTGCACTCGTGCTGTTTGTGCAGTCCATTCCTTATTCTAAAGGTATTCTGGGGATGTTAATAACACAATCAGCTGGTGTGAATAATATTATCCTGATGGTTGGTAGTAGTGTTTTCAATGAGCCCCAGCTCTGTAATTGAGCAGGACTGGGCTGGGCGATATGACCTCAAATCAAAATCACCATTAATTGAACATTAATGATAATTATAATGATAATTATAATATGCTCAAAATGTTTCTAATGAAAGAGTCCATATCTGATTAACTATTTTGTGATTATTTATTGAATATTTCGAACTGATATCAAAGCATCGCTTGAAATTAAACCAACACATTTTGTTTTTTAAGCAGAAATTAACTTCTCTAAAACAGTAGAAAATAAATAACTTGCATTTCTTGCTTCTTGCTTCTTGCGCAGTGTTTATATTTGACTTCTATTTGTTTGGTGTCGTCTTCCCTGAAGACAAAATGTGTCCAAACAGCAGACATTGCTTCCATGTCATGGATTGGACGCCCTGAAAATAGTCGAAATAATCGACGTGGGCGAGATAACATCGCTTAGAGGTTATGAATGTCAGTTTCGATTAATTGCCCAGCCTTACTAAACAGTTTGCTCTGAGTTTGTGTATCAAAGATGAATGACTAGGAATCATCTTTTAGCTTCAAGGGGCATGGAATTATGACGCCTTTTCATTATTATTACTGTTTTCCATCAAAATTGAGTTATGAACGTGTGTGTGATGTCTAAGTCTTGTTTTATTTTATTTATTTTTTTTTTTTTATTTGGTAAATGAAAAGTAAACAGATGATTGGCATAGAAAATGTTATGTTTCTGATAAATGGTTGATGCACTGTACGAAGTGTGGATAGGGGATGATCCCTGACAATGAATTGCTTCAGCTCTCATGAAACATATTCACATTGATCTGTATCCTATGTTGTCACAATTTCCAAATGCTCCTGCAACATGAACAAAAAGTCACTTCGCTTCAAACTTAATGTTGAAACTTAAAACGTAAATGTTCAGTTCAGTTTAACAAAACAATGTTCCCTTCATTAACTTACTTGACAGTCTTTATAGAAGTGGCTTCAAATGTGAGTAACAGTTAAGTTGTAAGGTTGTTTATTCAACCAAAGGAGTCTGTGAAAGGATAAAAGCCAGATTACAAACAGAGCAGTGTCCCTGAGGAATACCAAGACACATTGTTTTTCTTCATGCAAATATTTTGACAGAGTCTCCTGTATGTGATCTGATTTGATCTCTAGTAAATGTCCGACATGAATCATGGTTGTGTCACCAATGGGCTTGAACTGAACTATGTGACGTTAAGTGACTCAATTTGGACTCAAATATAAATATGTTAGTTGTAGATTTTTTCTTTGCAGCAGTTTTTGGAGTTTGTTTCTGAAATGTTGATAAGTTGATAAGTAAGGGCCGGTGTAACTCTATACTCAAAGGAAACTGATCTGCAGTGAAATATTCTAATCTAAACTGCACCACTGATTTCTGTTCAGTTAAAAACTCATACCACCAATCTGAGGAACAACACAAACATTCTTAGAACATTATGTAACACGATACAGGGCACTTCATGGGGCCTGAGCAGTAAGTATAGTTTGCTGTAGCCAGACCTCATACATCCTGCAGACTTCACATGCTTCCCCAGCACAGTTTAGAGGTTTTCTGGTCTGGTAATTGATTGATGGTTAGCCAGGATTAGATGGAACTTTATTGATCTCCTGTAGAGGAATGAAGTCATGTGGCAGGATCCAGCAGAACAGTTCAGAATAATAGATTTAGCAGATTAGGCCTGAATAAAAAAGACCAAAGAAAACGAATCACTGCATGGTGATATGAGTAGATGCTACTTATTCCATAAGATTAATCGTTTGACATTTGGAGAAGTGAGCTTATTTTCTTTGAGATGAGTGATGCTGCTCTTGGGTGTGTTTGCTTAGTTATGCTACTCCCAACATCTAGATAGCTTAGCTTAGCATGAACACTGGACACATGAGGAAGCAGCTATAGGCTGACTGAAACAAAAGGTAGGCTTTCTTGTGACCTTGACGTTAACAGACAGCCATTTTCAAAAGCTACCTTGTAAAACAGCGACCTGTCAATTAAAATCATTTTTTAAATACAAATTTTAAAAACTACACTAAGATGTTGAACAGCAAGCTTTGGAATTGCGGCTAGGTTCAAAGGTTCAAAGGTCGGTTCAAAAGTCTTACTGCTTCTCCCAGTTTTCTTTTTTGGGCTCTGATAGATAGGCAAGGCGTCTCCAAGCTGTAGTCACCCACTATAAAATACATGTAGAATACTAATTATAATGTGTAAGTATGATTTCTGGAAGCAAAATTTCTCCAAATGACTTCTGATGCGTTGAGAAAACTTGTCCCAAAGCTGTGTGAGGACAAGCTAAATAAAAACCACTCCGCTTCCCTCGATGATGGCTGCATCTACGTGGGACAGAAAGCTCAGCATGAATCAAGTTATCCCAAAAGTAGCTCAGTGTGGGTAGGTCGGGACAGTGCTATATTGTGAAAGGGCCCTTTGCCGCTGTAGCCCTCTTTCTGTTTACTTAGCCTGTCCACGTAATGATAGGGATCTCTGTAAAAGTACCACTTCTGCTGCCGCACACTCTCCTTCTGTCTTACTCTGTCTCTATGTTCTCCAAGGCTCTGCAAAGTGAGCGCACAATGGCTGCTACTGCTTCATTGCTCTGTCACTTAGTGTGTCCCTCAAGTGAGGTTACAGCAGATGTGCCTATAGCCAATATGTCTACTCTTATGTGTTTCCTTTTCTCAGTCTGTGCTCTCCAGGCTCAATGGTTTTATGTAGGCCTATATGTACAAAAATCCTGCACAGCATAAGTGTTCACTTCTCCCTGGCATTTTATGTGATATAATAGTTAAACGGCACAGAGCCTTTTGTGTGTGTATTTCTTCCATGAAATGTGTATCATCAGATGGATTCTGAAGGGAGACTTCTTCTGTCTTGCTTGATTTCTGTTTTTTCTTTCTTTCTCTAAACTCAATTGGCACTACAGTTTTTCCCAAAAGACCAATACAGCTGCTTCTCCTTTTTTTTTCAAAAAATGTATTGTTTACGAGTTCTCCAGTGCATGAAACGATACGGGCATGCGTAAACGAGCTGCAGCTTTGTCTTTGTCACTTTCTGTCATTAAAGTGTCCACCGGTGCATGTGTTATTAGTCTAGCAACCATAAAAAGTGGGACAGACAAGATGTCTGGGCTTCTGTGCTGTTAGTCTTTTAGACAGTGAAGTCTATTTCAGAAATGTTTAAAGGTGGAGGTAGGTGTGCTTTTCCAGGTTTCCTCATGATTACAGCTTTGGTCCATCTCACTCTCTCTCTCTCTCTCTCTCTCTCTCTCTCTCTCTCACACACACACACACACACACACAGAGAATACAGTGTCCATTTCCATCCCAACTATTCACCTCTGTCACTATCAATGTTGGAAAGACTCTGGTTGCCTGGGTTACAGGATATTCTGGGATGGTGTCCCACAGAGTGTAAATATAGATGCCACACCCTGAAATGCACACACACACACACACACACACACACACACACACACACACACAGGCGTGGGCCTCTCCAAAATATCTAAATATCTATTAGTATTTCCAATTTCACAGCATGACATCATATCAGAAAAAGAAGATGCTTCTAAGTTAAATAAATAAATCAACTATAGACTATGTCCTTTAGATACTGTTCAAGTTTTGCATGTTTTGAGGTTATTTAGTACATTAGAAAACAGGGTTTAAAGTTTTGCATTTGTGTGACTGCGAGCACTCCTTAGACTCGCACATTTGCTTTGATACTTTTTTTACTCACTTGAGTCGATTTGTTTTTTAAGCCTTGAGAATTCAATCCCAATAACTGAGCTCCTCTTGAAGCAATTTTCAGGACGCATCTGTGACCCTAGTTTCTGATGATAATCATGTCAAAATATGCAAAAAAAAAAAAAGAGTCAGATTACATGTTTGGTTCTGTGGAGAAAATAATTGATAGGGATACTTTGGGACTGGTTGTTACTTGAGGCTATAACTGATGCAATCGCTGATATCATGCAAGATTAAAGGAACTTTAGTCCAAAATATACTAAAGCTATGACTGTTCCTGAAACAACTCAGGGGACAGTTGTACAAAGCATTCACATTTTTGACAGTAATTATTCAGACAGTTTTTTTCCCGGCCTGGGAACTGATTTTCAGAAACACTATGGGTCATTTGTGTAACCAACTGTGTAACCTGAACCCTTAACTTAAAGGGCTGAGTTTTTGCAAATACTGAATGTATTATTCCTTGTGCTGTGGTTTCTGTCTCGCTGTCTGCTGTCATACTGAGGGCCTTAATAAAGCTGAATTTGGCTACACTCTGACCAAAAACACATGCTAGTGTGGCACAGTAAAGGATTATCCTTGCGGTTTTAATTGCTTTTCTCAATAGTTAAAACCTCAGACTTCAATATCTCCTCTTTCAAAGAGTGTCCACAACAAGTCTTTTCAACAGCAGCTGAATGAAGTGATTCACACGGAGCGGCTCTACAATCACAACTGTACTTCGGCCTATACAATGCTCCCTCTTTGAGCATTCACTGCTGCTCTGTTTATACCAGAGCCAATGTTATCCTGGTGCTCGTGACAACATATGATGTTGATGTTGTTTCAGTGCTGGTACAGTAGCTGCTGGCTAACAGAGGTTCTTTCAGGCACAGATTTAATGGATGAGGGGGAGGAGCTTGAGTCTGATGTTATATTCACTTAGAATCTCTCTATGAAAAAATTTATCTACATAGCGTGTTAGCTGAAACTGATAAAAGTTTGCTTTGTCATTCCACTAGTTTTCATTACTGAGCACATTTTGGGTGACAAAAGTTTGTACTCTTCGCTAAACGATGCCAATATTTTCCTTTGCTTTTATAGGTTCTCAGTTTTTGTCTTGGGCAAAACATGAGAAGAACATTTTCTTAAGACTTTTCCTTTTTGCCCCTCTAAGTTTTCCTGGCATTTTCTGAGCTCATGTAGCCATTTGTGTCCTCACTATTTTAAATGCAAACATTATTAAGCAAAGGCGACACATTTCATGTCAAACATCTTCACTGTTTCTATGCATGAATACATGTTATACACAAACAAACATAAAATACTGACGATTTAGGAATGAAAGATGTTTTACAGTCAAGAGATTATTAGACCTGCAAACTGGCCCCCACTCCACCAGAGCGCAGGATTGGTGCACTTTCACCAAAAATGCATGAAGTGAACACACCACAACTTCTACTACTTATTCATCAGTTCAGGAAAAACTCCAGTGAATCTTTTCTATCTGACTGCCTGCGGACAACTCCTGATCCCATAAATGCTTGCTTCGTGTGCAGCCCTGCCCAATTCTCACACCCTGCCAATGGAAAACACTTTGAGCCAAGAATACAAAGAAACATGATGGCAGGAGCTGGCAAGCACTTTATTCATAGCACCGATGATCTCATGCGCTCAACTTCATTGGGGAATAAGTGACTATCTTGCAGCGATGCTTGTTGGGAAACAGGAAGCTCCTACCAGAGACACAAAAGCAGGAAGTGCCCACAGAATCACATCACTCCCTCTGTCTCTGTCTTTGTCCTCTCTTAATATCTATGTTTGTAACTTTCTTCTGCTGGCAGTCCCACCGTGCTTTCACTTGCCTTTCTTCCATCTCGCTCTCCTGTGATTTCCTCCCTCCGGATCTTATTTTCTGAAATATATCTCCCTCACCTGTTTGTTTTTCTTGAAATGTATAATATTATTTCTCCAGTCCCTGTCAGCTCTTGTCACATCTCCTTTAGAGAAGTATGTGTATGCACAGCTTCTGGTGTTTGCTTTCACACCAGTGTTAAAAAAAAAAGCCCTGCAGAATCCCATACCACCAATACCTCTCCAGTTTCAGAGTGTGTGTGTGTATACAGTAGGTGTGTGTATTTATACATCTGTACTCTTTGTGGACACATATAGTCACATCATGCAGTTGCACATATCTAAAGTTCTATCCTTGGATTCTTGTTTGGCTGATATATTTTAAGTGTCCTATTGTTGACGTCCTCTGAGTTTGAAGTGGCTGGATAGCTTTGACCTTGAAGCTAAAAGTGTACCTGTTCTTTTTTGTAGAATCACATGTAAAGCACGGAAGTCTTTTTTTTAATTTAAATTCCACATTCAAAGTATTAAAGGGGACATATTATGAAAAATCCATTTGGACAGTGTTTTTGAACATATATTTGGGTAACCTGAGTGTCTACTGACCCACAAAATGTGAAATAAATCCATCCAGTCTTTTTATTGTGGTCTGCATGAGTCTTACAACACTGAGAAAAATGCTCCGTTTCAAATGTGCTCAACTTGTGATGTCACAAGTTGGATTCTGGTTAGAACAATCCCCTCCCCTCCCCTGATAGCTCCACCCATGGACTCCATCATCAGCCTAGAACAAAATTTTTGCGCAGGTCTGCCATTTTTATTCTCTCTACAGAGGAGTGAGTTCTATCGGGAAAACTCAAGGGGAGCTCATTGCATTTAAAGAGACACACACACTAAAACGGAGTGTTCTGAGAGAGCTGGTTTACACAGGGTCTCAAACCTCCTCTGGTGCTTGATTCATGTTATATTTTGACCAAAGCACAGCACAGATGTTTCATTTAGATGACAGGGGACTGTTTGAAAAGGTAGAAAAGGTGTATAATATGTCCTCTTTAAGTTAAAAAGCTGTATAGCAGAAATGTAACTCACATCATTACTGGAAGTTAAAAACCATGTATGCAGTGTTGCAAATCATTTTATTTCTGTTTGCACTTTTTATTGCACAGTTTTCCTGGAATTAGACGTACAATTGAGACATGTATCTTTGAATAAACCGAAAAGTGGATTAAGGTAGCTGAGGACCCACAGTTCTTTTACTTTTTCCAATTTGAACCACATGATTAGGATGTAAAAAAAATGTGGCACCACCTGACTCTATGTAGGACTGTAGTGAAAGCTGGACAGATGTTATGTTATATTTTAGTCAAGAACTGAGACTACACAGTGCTGGAAAAAAAAGAAGCTAAAATGTGTCATAACAAAAACTGATGGAAAGCATTTGCTAATGTTACTCTGTTATCCCATCTGTTCAAGTGTGTTGGACCAGATCAGCATGAAGACTAAACATACCGTAGCCTTAAACATGTACACTGTACCTTTGTACGAGGTCTTCCAGCCTCTTCCCTTGTTCTTCGTCCTGTTCCAGCTGTTTCCGCCTTACCTCTTCTTCCTCCACTCCCATACCCTGGAGCAGCCATCGCTCACGCATGGCTTTGGACTGAGGAGAGAACAGACACATATAAGGTGCTTGCAGAAAGATTTCAGACAGTGTTTCATATTCATGTAGACATATTAAGTAAGAAGTAAGAAAAATCCTCCTCAGTTCATCCACTGCGTATGAAGTACTGTTTGTGTTTTTAAATATTCTGCATATTTTCTTTCTCAGTGAGATTAATCAAACTTGGTCAATTCATATTTTAATAATATATCATATTCATTATCTTAATAAATAAAAATCCTGCCGTATTCATAATGATATCTTTGCTCAAATGAGGCAAGCTGGCTAGCCTGCCAGCAAACATAAAGCAGGTTAAAGGTGCCCTGTGAAGATTTCTAATAAATACAAAAATGTTGTTTACTCAGTTTCTCATCAAAACATCTTTTGTATATAAATGATTTTTTTCCTGATTAAATCTTTGTGAAAATGAAATACTTTAAACACAACATTATTGTTTTTAACATTGTTTACATCAGTGCTTTCAAGCCAAACCCTAATCTGCCCTGCCCTTTCTTTATGCCTTGTTAAATTTCTCTGTATCATTTACATCTTCGACTGTTGACCAGCTGCCTGAAAAGAGGCATGCATCAGGTTTCCAAAAATATTTGCATCAGGCAACATTAATTTGTCAAACTACTACACAGCCTGGAAAGATATACTGCAACACTCTTTCAATAGCCCATCTTTTGGATCCTTGCTGAGATATTCTTGATATTATTAGATACCAAATAGACCTTTATGATGGAGACTATTTGTGAGAGAGTTGTGAGATGACTGCCAAGTGCAGCTACAACAAATAAATAAACAAACACGCAGGCCCACACATGCACACAGTTTTATATTGGTCCTAAAGTCTGCTGTTACTCATGGGAAAACACTGTACAAAAAATTAACCCCATCAGGCCAGGAGAGCTGCAGCTTACAGGCCCCATCATATTTAGTAAGGTAAGATATGTACAATAAATTACAATATTTCTTGGTCCTACTCAGTCTCAGACAAAATTGTTAATCAAAAAACAAGCCTGCTTGTTTTATGCCTGAAGGAACTATAATATTTCCTGCAAGCTTTCATTTGGGATTCTTGTATTCCTCTTTTAACTGACCCATCCATCTCAACAGGATATCAATTAAATGTACAACTGTTTACAGCTAACTTTTTCATTTCTAGTTTTAAAGGACTAAGCAGATGTTAATAAACCGGGGTAATGGTTTTAGCCTGTTGACAAACTAGCACAACTATGTTGATTATATTGTCTCTGGTCCTCCAGTCTTGAATGCAATTTTGTCAAAAGTGTTGTCTTATATCTCTAATAAAGTCTTTAGGACATTTTTTTATACACAAGATGTACAAACTATGGGTGGCCTCTTACTAGATGTGCATCAACAGTGGTTAAAGTAACAATCATCTCATCAGCCTGGGGTTGCTTCTTTAAAAAAAAAAAAAAGAATCCCAGAGCTGTGTGGTAATGTCCCCGACGTTTTGTCTTTGTCTCAATGTCTGTTCTGTTACCACAACAGAGTCGTGCTGGAGCACTCAGCGTCACCTTTTGCTGTTTACTGTCACACCGTGGCTCGGCTGTAGGTCGCAGAGCTGACTATTAACAGAACGAGTGCCTGCATATAAACACATTCTGACACACACCACGCAATGAGCTCTGCAAAAAATATTCCAAAGCATTTTCCCACCCGCCGTCAGAATGTGACAGCAGGAGTGTTTGTTTGTGGGTGCATGTGTGGCTGCTGCACACCCATGGTGTCAACCTAATGTCCTGTAAATCAAACATGATGTCATTGGCGTATAAAACCAGTTACATTTGAATGAAACTCAAGTTTGTTAACAAGTCTGAAAAAAATATTTTGTATAGAAATCCAATTTTGCCCTTGAAATAAAGTTAAACAACAGAACATCTTATACTTTGTCTGTTTTTAAATGGCTTATTGCTCTGTTGTTCTGTCCTCTGCCCAATTTAAAAATAAATAAAAAGAGCTCCATTTATTCTCTTTAATGCAGCGTTGCTGTCTATTTTGAAAAGAAAAAATAACAACGCAAATATAGTTTTCTAGCTTAGATAAAGGACAAGAAAATAACAAAGAATTCCAACTGACTTGTGCTGGACCAATAGGGCAGCATAGATTATCCCTTATGCAGTTACTTTTCCACATCCACATCCATGATGTTAGACTCCCTATTTTGCTGTTTCAATCATTTACATTTGAGATAGGGACACCAAAAGACCAAGTCAGTCTGTAAAATGTAACAGTGCTCTATATGAAAGGCAAAAAAAAAAACAGTGTAGAGAGTATCATTACATGGGAATAAAGTTTGCTTGACCACTTGAGTGGCCAACAAAGCAGTGATGGATAAAGTTGTGCAGGATAATTAAGCAGTCCTCTGAGAACCAGGCGTACTCTCTGCTCTCTCCCACGCTGTTTAATAGACTTTCCATTTCCTGTTTAGCTCTGACACACAACTACTGTGAGCTCTCTTAGAAGAAAGGTTTGGGGCTGTTTTTAAGGTCTCGGCTATGCTCTGTAGAAACTGAAATTACCAGTTCAGAACAGAGCAAGCATCAGATCCCCAAAATACACAGCTGCAAGATGGAAAATGAACCACTAATTAAGACCTGCAAAAAGTGCAGACTCAGGCTTCCTCTGCTCTGACATCATTGTGATGTTTACACTGTCCCAGACACAGCTCAACGCCTCTGTTCTCAGAGGTCCTTTATCAAACCTCTGGGCTCCAGTCTCCATTTCCTCTCCTGGGACACTAAATCTCTGGAGAGGGGACAATACAAACCCTGCTTCATGCTGTCTGGCTATGTCGCTTTCAGAGGTAATGGCCATCAAATGGGTCTGTGTGACCAGATGCTGATTACATCTGGATTTCAGGCCTGATGGTGTTGTATAATGAAAGAAACTGTATACAGACTCTTTGGGGGCTTCCTGTTTTTTGAAGTCGATGATAGCAGTGTCAGCACATCAGGTTTGGTTAATGTCATTTAAATGATTACTTGTACTTTCAGTTAATTCTCTAGAATAGCACAAAGAGAAAAGAACACAACCTAGGAGAGGTGTTGTTCCTTTAGACCCATGCAGGTGTTTCTCCTTTCTTTTCTCATTATTAGCGGCCAAATATAATATAAAGCTGGTTGCAAAGGTTGGGTTAATGACCTCGACTGTGCAAGAGTGTTTTTGACTCTGTATTTGAGCCTTGCATACGTATGTATCTGAAATACACATAGGATCTGACGGAATCTTTCATCCGTGGGAGTTTTCAAAGGACACATTATTAACATTGGCACGAACAGTGCTTGACAATCGGACCGTACAGCATATTAATGAGCTTTGGCAGTGCGTCGTAATCGATGGTAAATGGACTTGAGCTTGTGTAGCACTTTTCAGGATTCGTGACTACTCAACTACAACTCAAATTGCTTTTACTGTACACTGCAGGTCACACCTATCCATTCACACTCATTCACTGATGGTAAGGTTGCTATGGAGAGGTGTGTGTGTGTGTGTGTGTGTGTGTGTGTGTGTGTGTGTGTGTGTGTGTGTGTGTGTGTGTGTGTGTGTGTGTGTGTGTGTGATGGACTTTTTTACATTTTTATATAAAATACTTTTCTTTTGTGTGATCATCAGAAATAATGAATCCCATTTATACACATTCACATTTCGTCTTGCTCTATAGGTCACATCAAACATGTGGCTGCAGGAGCTGGGGATCGAACCCCTGACCATCTGAATGAGAGACGACCGACTTTACCACTGGCAACAGCCGCCCCATACAGTCGATACACTCTTACAGTGCGTGATCTATACAATCCCACAGCACGCCCTTAGATCAGTTTATTTTTTATTTTTTGCAGCTTGGCCTAGACAGCAGAAACTTGGAATTAACACTTCCCAGTTACAGAAGCTAATTAAAATGATCAAACATTTGAGTCATTCATGCCAAGTGTGTTTAAAGGCTCTAATTGGAGAATGGAATGTATTTTTATTACAAATATTAAAGCTTGCTATGTAGTATAATTGGCACCTACAGTAATTTCCCCACCCACGCTGCATCTGTGCAGCCTTAAGAGCTACAGTATTTTCCGTACAACTCACCAAAGGGAAAAACAATTGAAGTACGCAAAAAGAGTTTAGCTGATTATTTTGGTGGAATTTTTTTTACTGCATATTTATGCACAATTCTGATGAGGAAACCAAAATGTAAGTCTTACTTGTCACATAGGAAACATTTTCTCATCTCAATTTTGGAATCATACATTTGATACAACACGTAGGATGTCTGCATCAGGTTTGTCTCCTCCTGACAGGGTTGTTTATGTTTTCCTGAGTTTTCCTGAAAGTCAAGGGCCTATTTTTTAGTAGGTTGAGAGGTTCAAGAACTCCAAACAAAGTTACTGATTCCGGAAAGCTGTTACGTTTTTCAATATCACAATCTGTCAGCTTTTTGCATACTTTTTAGACAGCGGTTGCTCTCTGAACGTCAAATCAATGTTTACTTGAAACATAATCTTGGTCTTCCAGTAGTGGCTGGCAGTAATTATTAAGGGATATGTTTATGTGTGTTTGGATTTGAGTGTTTTTCTAGAGAGAGGAAAACAGCCAGGCCTGCGGTGCTTGGCCAAGGGAAACTGCTTTGACAGGCCTGCACACCATGGAGCTCTGAGATTTGGATGTTTGGAAGGAATGCACCACTACCTGTCAGCCAGGCACAATAATCAATGCATAAAAACAATTACAAACACATGCAGGTAGGTGTAAAAGCAGTTTGCAGGGACACGTGATGTGTATCTAACGGAACACTGTCTTTTTATTCCTAGCACTTAGGGTCAAGGCAAGATCTATGTGCAGGACAAAAACAACAATTGTGGTTTGAGCAGATGAATGAGTGTCATAGACACAAAGCTTCTAAATGGGACCATCATTTAGTCTTTTCATCCAATAACTTCTAACCATAAATTTAAAGCCCTACCTTACCTTCACCTTAACAGTGACCCCATTCTCATTCAATGCTAAATTCAGCATCCGACCTTGAACTGACTGTTACCTCAAGTCTTATTCCATGTTTATCTTTAACACACAGACGCCCCAAATTTAGCAATATTAAGCTCAGATGTAGACTAAACAGCAAATACCTATCACATATGAGCCTGATGAATACACTGCTAAGATTAAAAGAAGTGAGCAGAGAGCTCCATAAGTATATTAAAATAAAGAGATTTTGTCTTATACCAGAGCACAATGCTTCTTCACAGAATCTTCATGAGATCTCCATCTTGATAGTCATTGTGTCTTTTATGTAACAAGGTCCCTTGACTCTGTTGTGTGTGAGATGAAGATGACAGGGCAGAGCTACAAATAACAGGCTAGGCAAATTTAGCGGAGTATTTATATATACTCTACTGAAACTCCAAAATGGTGAGATTAAATTAACTCTAGTTTTGTACTTTAGTATAAATTACAGGTCCTACTACTTTAGTTATATACTGGACCTTTATATTCTGGTACTTCCCAAGGAGTAACATATTTTTTACTGTCCCCACATGTGTCTGACTGCTTTAATTGTTCCTTTTGTAATAATAAAACTGAAAGTGAAAGGATTAAGCAATCCCTTTTGTTTCTATTCTTCTAGTCATTGTCTAAATTTAAAAAAAGTCATCTTGGATAAGCTCTTAAATGTTTTATTTCAAGGAGGAAAACTATTTTCGACAACTGCAAGACTCCGACAATATGATGATCTTGAAGAATTTAAGGAATCAAAAATGGTAAATGGACTTGAGCTTGTATAGCGCTTTTCTAGCCTTTGGACGACTCAAAGCTTTTACACCGCATGTCACACTTCCCCATTCACACACATTCATACACTGATGTCAGAGGTTATGGAAAGTAAAGTGACCATCAGTATAATCCCATTCACACACATTCATACGCCGCCGGGAGCAATTCAGGGTTAAGTGTCTTGCCCAAGGACACATTGGACATACAGCTGCAGGAGCTGGGGATCGAACCCCTGACATTCCGGTTGAGAGATGACTGGCTCTACCACCTGAACCACAGCCGCCCCTAACACAATAAATGTCAAAACAATAAAGTACATTTACTGAGTCTGTTTTACTTCCTGGTGTATAAAAAGCACTTTGTGTTGCGTTTACTTGTAAATCTGATCGATGAGTCATTGACAGGAACTTGGTTTTTGCTAAATCAGGAAAGATTTGTTTCAACGTGAGATCGCAGGACTGCGGTGTAGAAGAATATTTCAAAGTGTGGCCTTTGCATATTACCCAAATCACACAAACCAACCTTGAGATGCTGTAGTTGTAGTACCAGGTCATCGAGCTGACTCCTTTTGTCTTCAATCTCAGTCTGCCGTTTTCGCTTCTCCTGGAGGAAAAAAAAGATTTGAAAATCAAGTCTGAAGTCAATTGAAAAAATCTTTTGATACAGTCAGTAATCTCTCATCATTAAATTTTAATAAAGGCCCGTGGGAAAGAAAGAAGAGCATGGCGATGCACTAAGAATGCTGTTGTATTGATTGAATGTTTAAAGTTAATACTCTTCAAGCAAGATCCCTCCAGGGCAATTGTGGTTTACATATACAGTATTTCATTACAGGTGAGCTGTATTATAAAGTAAACCATCCAACTCATTCTACATGGATGGGTTACAGAAGAAACATCTCAGTTTAAATCTCTTGTTTTTACAGCAAATAAACAAAAGCGATCAGGCAGTAACAGCCTGTACTTTGAACTGATTCAAACCTAAAATAAAACGATACTTCATTTCTTTAGTTAGTGCAGCCCTTCACAGACCCTATCTGCTGCTCAAGGGGAGAAACATGATTATGTACACAGGAAGGAAGTTAAGTATAAGGAGGGTCAGAGGTCGGGCTTATCGAGTTTGAGAGGGGTCAGGGTCTACAGGCTATCTGAAGGGGAAGGATTAGGCCTCGAAGCCTCTAAGTGGCTCTGTGGTTGAACTCAAGGTAGAGTGATCAATCTTAGCGTTGCATGGAAAGGAACAAGGCTGATTTAGAGAGGGCGGGCTGTCTGCTTATTGAGTGGTTAGAAAATGAAAAGTTCTGAATAGACTGAGGCCATGTGGAGTAACTACCTTTGAATTTACTATGACGAAAAGTGCATGGGAATATAAACAAAGCAGATCCCAGAACAACCATGGTGCGGGGCCAAAGGGCATGAGACCCTGTGGATGTGTACGGGGCTTTATCGCTCCTTCTCTCAGCTGGAGCAGAATGATGGTGCCTGGGTTGTTTCCTGTTGGCTAAATATAACCATTAGGGAAAACCCCATAATGTGAATTATCATGGGACCACATCTCAAAGAGAGATGAAGAGTGACAAAAAAAAAAAAACATGAGGATCACTTTTGAAGAAAAATGGATCATAAAGATGGGAGAAAATGTAATGATGGGGAAAAAAGTCTTGATAAAAATAAAATGATCAAGTTTAGGCTAGAGAAATTGTTCCTCAAAAACACTCCTTTTAGTGTTATGGTTGTTCACCACTTGTTTAATTTTGTTACATCATGTACCCTAACTGATCTGAAGCATGTCTTTCTCATTTTCTCCATAACTGTGTTTCTCTCTCTGTACCTGGAAAGACATCATCTGTTCCAACACTACATCTTAGGGATGTACAAATCACCCAACATCAGCCCATAACTGCCTGAAATGGCTGGATCCCCTACTGTGCCAACTATTGCATTTTTTTTTTTTTTTAAGATTTATTTTTGTTCCCCCCAATGTAGAGACAGGACAGTGGACCGGAAACCAGGGAGAGAGAGAGAGTAGGGAACGACATCGCGGGAAAGGAGCCACAGGTTGGACCCGAACCCAGGCCGCCCCCCAGGAGGACTACAACCTCTGTTCAAGGGGAACGAGCACCAACTTCTACGCCACCGACGCCCTTATGTATTCGTTTTTAACACGTTTGTGTTAAAAGACATGTTTTAGAAAGAAAGAAACACTAAATGTGATGCATAGGAACATTAAAAAATGTGACCAACATACATTTCAACTGATTTTCCTATAAATGTGAAAAACAAAAAAAACAAAGATCATTCAACACAAAACCACAGAACTAAACAGCTAAACGGAACCTTTGATTTGATCAGTCTTGCCGGGAGAACACATTTCAAAGCTGCACGCAGGCCGTGAAAACAGCTGCTCTAAACCCGAGGTCATCTCTCTTTCCTCTCTCTCTCTCTCTCTCTCTCTCTCTCTCTCCGTCCTTCACACACACAGGTGCAACCACACATACCACAACAACCTACACAGCAGCAGTTCCCATGGCTTGTGAAGTACAGTCAGAGAGCCAGAGAAGAGGAATGGTCACCAGATGTCAAGGACATGTGGTCGAGGAATGGACAAAACACACACACACACTCGCACAAAGCAAACACACATCTACAGAAACACTCAAAAACAAATACAGTCACAGGTAGGCGCTTGTACACATCGATAAGAGAGGACACAAATATTATTTTTTTTCACAAAAAAAGACAGTTGTGTGTGTTAATGCAGGAAAAATCCTTTCATCTAGCTATGATACCAATTGATTTCCATTACATTCCTGACATATGATATGTACAGAATAGGCTTTATGTACATTTACATCATGTTCAAAAAAACATTCATTGAGTTAGTCTGACTAAAATTGGACTTTAAAAATATCTTCTAAACATGTTATTCTGACCTGAAATGAGAATTATCGAAGTCGTGCTAACCCGCCAAGCTAATGTGGTTTTGAGTCGATTTATTCTTGCCGAGCGCTCGAGCGAGAGCGCACAGACGAGGAGACATGGTTTATGTTGTGTCAGCTGAAGGAGTTAAACATATTGAATGGAAGAAAACAGTTTGCTGCTTGCTAACTTTTGTCAATTGTTTGATATGTGGAAAAAAAAGGGTAAACCGGTAGAAGGTCCAATTGAAAGGAGCTGGAGGGGGCTTATCATCACATACAGTAAAGTCAGACATACTTCTGTCAATAAATCTACTCTTACTGTGCTTTCATACTGGGACAGGGAAAGTGAATATAGCCTAATAGAGGTTTAACTGTAGCTCAACTGAACTGTGCACGTAAACATACTGAGATGTTACTTAAATGTCCTTAAGGCCATAAAGCAAACAAACAATAGCTCTGCAGCAAACAACACAGACTCCTCATTCATTTCATGAGGAAACACAGAGGGGGTCCCACCACAGACAGATGTGGAAAAAAACAGAAAAAAGAGAGAGCATTTGGGGACTACTTTTTTTTTTTCAGAACACACACACACACACACACACACACACACACACACACACACACACACACACACACACACACACACACACACACACACACACACACACACACACACACACACACACACACTCAAACAAACAAACCACATATACATTGAAGAATAACTTTTAACAATAATGGGAAGACGATTTATGCAGCTATATAAACTTAGTCAAATCCTTCCTCAAAAGACAATAATAGGCACAATGACTTCACCACTGTTTAAAGTCATTTTGCAGCACATGATTGAACTATTTACACCGCAAATGTTCCCGTGTGAGCTTCTGGAAATATATATATATAGTACAACAGGCAGTGTCTCAGAGTGAACTGACAGAAGATAAGGCCCTGCTTACTGATTACTGTGAGTAGTACTTTCTTTTGTTTGTTGTCTTTGTTCCCAAATCAACACCTAAACTATAGCCACTGAAAGATTTCCCAAGAAATATGAATGAATGCAATTATAATGCATATAATATAAGGAGGTCATATTGATTACTACAAACTCGGGAGGTTTTAGAAAAGCTCATAAAGAAGAATTCAATTGGAAAATGTTTCTCTCAAAGCATATTATATTTAATAATGTCTTTACAGGGGTGCTGGTGACTCAGTGGTTAGAGCGCGCGCCCAATGTGTGGAGGCTGTAGTACTCCAAGCAGGCAGCCCAGGATCGAATCTGACCTGTGGCTTCTTTCCCGCATGTCATTCCCCACTCTCTCTCTACCCGATTTCTGACACTATCCACTGTCCTATCTCTCTTCGATGAAGGCACAAAACGCCCAAAATACATCTTAAAAATAATAATGTCTTTACTCATTATCCAAAAACTTGACTTTTTTTGTCTATGCATTATGTTCTCCTTGGCACTTTTGCAAACTGAACAAATATCTAAAATGTAACTGCAGCAGACTGCGCAGCTCCCTGGGGTCATAGAGTTCATAAAAAAGCATGCTGGATCAGTTCATGTCTCTACCTTTCAAACTCAAGCAGAAACTGTTTAGCTGGAGGGAAAGCTATGTCTGAAAAAAGTTAAGAACATTTTGGTTTGTTATAAAAACAAGTTATTAGAAAAGAAGGAATGAATCTTCAGCTTTGTACAGTAGATCTGACCAGACAAAGACCTTAGAGCCGGACTGTTCACTGTATTTTCCTCCAGAACACACATCCTCCTCCTCAGGAAAATATGTTGGCATTCTTGGTGGCACACTCATGACTTCCCACACTCTGACTCACACAGTCTTTGGCCCCACTTGGCTTGCTGCTAACAATCTTCATACAGAGGACATCACTTTTCCCACTTCTGCTGACACCAGCCAGAAATGTGGGTTTCAAAATAGAATTCTGTGTATATTTTAAAATGGTGAAGCCCCACCGAAGGCTGTTATGTTATGATATTGCTGTTGATTTATAAAGTTTATGTTTAAATGTTGGGAATTTGAGAAGGGTCAATGACTGACAGTAACCCATTACATGTGCTATTAACTTATGTCAGCATGATTCACTTTTCTGTTCAAACACACAAATTGCAAGAATCTAAAAAAGTCAAAGGCTGATGACACTTCAAACCAAATTCTCTTAGGTTTTGGGGTGCTTCCTTTAGAACTGTTGCAAAATTTTCACATCCCAAAAAAGAAAAATGAGCAAAAGATGTCTAAATATAAAAATAAAGGCACACTTGTGCTTGTGCTAGAACACATCTGCTTATAAACAACATTCTGCCCTATGGGAGCTCACACACCCAGCATGAGGTCACACATAACATGTTTATAATGTGGAAAAGCAGTGATGTAACACCATTTCAAGTTCTGCTGATGTTGAGATTGTCAACAGAAGTAAGCAACAGATCAGATGGGTCACATTCAGCACATGCCAACACACCCAGCAGAGACATGTCAGGGTGAAGATCATCTTCCATCAGGCAGCCATACCTGAATGCTTAAGGGACACAGACTGAAATGGTCCTGCAGTTTAAATGTCATTGGTTTGATTTGCACTAACTTCATGAAAACAACATATTGAACAGATCAAAGGAAACATTTCAGAGTCAATAGCAATCCTGTTTAAATCTGGAGGACGTTAA